GTACAGGTCATCAGGGCGGAAAGTCCTGGGTGCCTAGCAATGGACAAAATTGGAAAAAAAAGTATTGTGGAGTGGGACTTTGTCCTCAGGGTGACTTTTTCTCCCCTAGCATATAGTTGGTTATGCAGTTTAAATATATTTTTATTGATTTTTTTACAGAGAGGAAGAGAGAGGGATAGAGAGTTAGAAATGTCGATGAGAGAGACTCATCAATCAGCTGCCTCTTGCACACCCCCTACTGGGATGTGCCCGCAACCGAGGTACATGCCCTTGACCGGAATCGAACCTAGGACCTTTCAGTCCACAGTCCGATGCTCTATCCATTGAGCCAGACTGGTTTTGGCTGGTCATGCAGTTTAGATCCCCTTATCTTTTATATTGTAGGTCATCCTCCCCTGACCTTTCTTCCCCTGGCATGTCCCTAGTCTTGTGATCTCCTTAGAGGAGGAACAAGAGGGCAGGAAAATAGCCTTGTATGACTCCCATACAAGTTCTTGCATGACCACACCTTGAGCCTTAAAGCCATCAGGACAATGAGGTTCTGACCTGCATCAGGAACAAAGCCTCAGGTACTAAGGCCTCAGGTACTGAGACAAAGTTTTGGTCAAACTAGAGATAACATCTAGATCTCAGCTCCAGGCCTAGAAAAGCAGCAAAACTAGACAAGGCATAGCCGCAGCTGACATCAAGACCAGGTGCAATGACTGATGACCCCAACCTCGTGCTGACCAGCCAGTAGAGACCACGACCCTAAAGGACACACCTGATAAACTGATGAATATTTGTTGAGATTCTCCCCTGAGACCTCTGCCAAGTTTCCCGACTTTAGAAAACAGATAAAAACCTGTAAGACAAATAATCCAAAGCTGACTGTCTCTTGATTGTACACCTTTCCTTCCCCTCAAGACACAAATCAAAGTACATTTGCTTTCTTTCTCCTTAGCTCCACGGGCCTTTTTCTGCTTCTGTAACTTGTTTCCAGAGTCCATGCAGCCCAGCCTGCTGCCTCTTCCACAGCTCACTTCTTCTATCTCTGTGACTTTCTAAACAAACTTTCGCTTGTATTTGAGTTCTTGGTATAGGCCTACTTACATTATCTGTTTCTTCTTGTGTGAGTTTTGGTAGATTTTGTCTTTCATGAAAGTAGTCATTTTAATCTAAGTTACCAAATTTGCAGACACAAAGTTGTTGAAAATACTTCTTTATTATCCTTTTCATGTCATGGGATCAGTGGTGATGATTACCCTTTCTAATAAATTACGTTAGTAATTCATATCTTCTCTCTTTTTTTTTTTGTTAGTCTGGTGAGAGGTTTATCAATTTTATTGATCTTTTGAAGCATCAACTTTTGGTTTTGTTGATTTTCCTATATTATTTTCTAATCATAGCAGCCCTGTATTTGTTTTATTGACTTACTGGGTTCTCCTATCATCCATCCTGTGTTTCACCTGCTGTGGTTTCCAGTCAGAGCTGATGGGAAACACCTAGGACCTCTGGGTGCTGGACGGTGGAGATGCTGTAACTGCCCTCAGTCTCTTCATTGTTATTTCTTTTTCTCATCATTGCTCTCTGTTTAGCATAGTTTTGCAAGTAAATTCTCTTTTTTTTTTTGTCAATAGTATTTTTTAAAATATTTAATTAGATGACCCTTCAGTGCCACTTATTCCTGTGATCCTAGTATTAATTACTAGGATCTAGAGAGGTACTGGTATTATTAGGTATCATTAGGAAAGTTGGTTTCTCTTTCTCAGTAAAAGGTTTGAATCAGAATTTTTGAGTAACCTTCAAAATTATGTGGTCTGACCTTCTCACTTTGTAAATGAAGAAATTTAGACCCAGAAAAATAAACTAAGATCACACAACTGATTATTGGTAGGGGAATCTTGTGATTCTTAGTTTTGTGTTTTTTTTTTTTCATCTTGTTTCCTATTTATTCCTTTAGATTTATTATCCCTTGATAACCCTGCATTTTTTTCCCAACTCTAAAAAGTCACTTCTCCTTACTTTGTTTGTGGTTTTCTTCCAGTTTTAATATAAATAAAATATCAAGTTTCTTTGGCAACATAGCATAAAAAATCTTTTTTTGGATAATACAGAAAATTGCCCAAAATAACAAGTAATAATTTTAAATGTCTTGGTCATTTTAGTTACTAGAATCTGAAATTGAAGGAAGAGTAAAAGATGCATTTGATTATCAGAATGTGTCTTTGAAATATTATTTTGAAAAAGATTATGCTGAACCTAATAAGTCTTGGAGAATCAATAAATTTCCAACTTAATTTCTACCTTTAACATTAAACAAGATGAATGTGATTTCTTTTAATGAATCAGCACTTACAGTTTGTAATGTTTATTTTGGCTGTGTGCTTTTGTTTCAGACAGAACCAAGTTGTATTATTAGACACACTGGAACAAGAGATTTCAAAATTTAAAGAATGTCATTCTATGTTGGATATTAATGCCTTGGTAAGTATGATTTAATTGACATAGCTTAATGACATCTTTCTTGTTATAGAAATAGGTTTGTCCTCCCAACTTTGTACATATGTATGTTTGGGACTTTTTCATCTACTTAAAAAAAAAAAAAAAAAAAAAAAATATATATATATATATATATATATATATATATATATATATATTTTTTTTTTATTGATTTTTTTTACAGAGAGGAAGGGAGAGGGATAAAGAGCTAGAAACATTGATGAGAGAAGAACATTGACCAGCTGCCTCCTGCACACTCCCTACTGGGAATGTGCCCGCAACCAGTATATATACCCTTGACCGGAATCGAACCTGGGACCTCTCAGTCCGCAGGCCGATGCTCTATCCACTGAGCCAAACCGGTTATGGCTCATCTACTTCTTTAAAGGGTAGAATTTGTTATTTAATAGGAAACCTTGATTTATTTTACTGGAACTTCCATTATCTTAAATAGTTATCTTTTAATGTTGAACTTATGCTAGGAATTAGAACTTACTTACGGAAGTCTAGAATAGATCTTTATTTTATAAGAGAGCTAAAAATAAGAAACTTTTGGGATACTATTTTTCCCCTTAGGGAAAGTGCATCTCTTTTTATCAATTACATGGTTTTTAAAATTCATATTTAATTTACGGCATTTTCATAATGTTATGACACGTCAAAGTTAAACGCTAAAACAGACCCTTTGAAGTTCCCTTATGGACCCTTTAAAGCTTTCAATATAAATGACAAGAATTGAATTTCATCAGAAGCTCTATAGCTTTTAGATGAGAGGAACCGATACTCTTTACTAATATTTTAAGAAACAAGAATTAACAAAAATAAGGAACTTAGGACTACCTTCCTCTTCAGCGTAAACATTACGAATACCTTATTTTGCATAATTTTTATGAACTTTTCACACATACCTCAGTAAATTGATTTTTCACTAGACAAATATGGCTTATTAATGTTTTCCTTTTATAACAATCAAAGGAATTTCATCTCTAGCATTAGGCAGAAGCCTGTGGTAGTAAATGCAAGTTTTCTGTCTGCAGTTTTTGACATCTCGTGAAGGAGGCAGGCAAGACTGCACTGACTTACAAAATCTTGTTGAATGAATGAATGATAAATGAGCCAAGCAGATGTAATACTGTTGCTTCTGTCTGAAGGGCAGAAACTAAGACTTCCTTTTTTGTCTTCTCTCAGCACCGTAGTGATGCTGATTATCATTTAGGAACTGAAAACTGGAAGGTTGAGAGAGAGAGACACACACACACAGTGAGACAGTCTGTAAGCTCTAGAGCTCACCATACTTATGCCTTTACGTATAGCTGCATGAAGGTTGCTAGTATCTCTACTGACACGTCTCTCAATTTTGTTACCTGATCTTCTCTCTTACCTTGCTTGAGAGCTCTCTGGGTGAGATGGAAAAATCTACACCTGTAACTCCGTGGGAGGAAAGGTGTCCTTACGGAGGTGGTTCTGCTTGGTCTGACTTCAGAAGCCCACAGGCCTCTCTAGACAGTATGCCTTTTCCTGATGGGCAGCACTTCACCTGTCCTTTATCCTGGCTTGGTCTCTCTCTTGGCAGTAGAGAGTTTTACTTTTCTCAGATGAAGCTGATAATATTATTGGGTAATCTTACCGAATTTTAGGATTATATTGCATGTTTTTAACGCAAAAATGTATGCCTATTTTATGGTTAGTAACTTTATCAATCTGAACTGAATCAAGTGTTTTAAAAATTCTACTAATGGTTTAAATAAAATTTAAATTTGGACTTAAATTGTGAAAATAAGGCTTTAAAAATTTGACCAATTTAGGAAGAATGAAGTGTAATGCAGGCATTGATTTATTTATCCATTTTGATATTTCAGTCTACTTTAATTTGACTTTTCATTTATTTTTTCATGTTAAGTTCACTGAAGCCAAACACTATCATGCCAAGTTGGTGAATATAAGGAAAGAAATGCTGATGCTTCATGAAAAGACGTCAAAGTTAAAAGTGAGTTGGCAGGTTCTTTTATATTCTTTCTAAAAGTAGAGGTGTAATTGTCTGTCTTCAGTATTCATTTCTGACTTCTTATATACCCTTATATAATCATATGCTCAATTCATGGTGCTTTGTTTTCTTTTAAAACATCTAGTTGAACCCCACTCGGCTTTTTTTTTTACCGGTAGCTGAGCTTATAGGCTCCTATTCTCTGAATATGCCACTATAATCCTCATTTAATGGAGTAACAATTCTTTTTTTTCTTTTTGTTCCAAGGAGACCTTAAATTACCCAGAATGAATTTATAAGTTAAATATGAGATGTATTAATATGTATTGATTACTCAAAAGCGCTTTTAAATTAGGCCATAATCTATTTACCTTGATTGTTCTCATTTTTCTGAATTTTTGATATAGAAAAGAGCACTTAAGCTGCAGCAGAAGAGGCAGAAAGAAGAGTTGGAAAGGGAGCAGCAACGAGAGAAGGAATTTGAAAGAGAAAAGCAGTTAACCGCCAAACCGGCGAAAAGGACGTGAAAAGTTGAATGTGTTTGTGTGTCCCTCCCTCCCTTGTCCCACGTGCTTTGCATTTAAGGAGACTTAAGTGCAGACTGAGGTTAAGGCAGTGCCTTATACCATTGTGTCCTGTTCTGAAATCCTTCCCCCAGGAGTGCTGTCTCTGTATGTTCATTTTAGCCATTTACAAAGCTGCTTCTCTCCCCACTCCCCAAGTAAAAGACAAAATGTCACTTGGTTGGATATTTATGGGTAGTTTTTCAATTTCTGTTTTACTTAATTTTAAAATTCATTATTTTGGCCTTGAATCACTTATGAACTGGAAAATGGTTTGATTGTTTTCTTAACAGACTAGACTTTAAATGGTTAAAAATTAGTATGAGTGTTTTAGCTTCCGAATAACTGTGGAATTAAGTTTCAGTTTCTTGTTTTATGAAATGACTTGCCTCTTTTGGGATCCAATGCTGGTTTTTGGCAATTGCCTTTTCATTGCTTGGTTACGAAGGAATGCCAGCTGTTTAATGACATATGCTACTGGAAAAGAGGTGATGGTATTAATCTTTGTGAAGAACATGACAGAAAAGTGTATACACACTAAAGAATAGCTTCTTAGGCATAAGCGAGGTGAGCACGGTGCCAGAGAGATTCCACTAACCATACATTCTGCTTCCTTGTATTGTTGCCGTTTAGTTCTTAGGTAGCTTCTGGTTCAGAGTAGATTGTATCTAAAGTTTGGCAGGGGTGGTGGTAGAGCTGCCACACACTCAAATATGCTTAAATATTTATAATACTTAGTAAGAGTTGTCACACACTGAGATACGGTTGTCAAGCTGATACAATAGTGAGCTCAACTTTCCAAATGGAAGGTCTCATTGCTAGTTCTGTCTTCTGATTTGCTGTGTGGCTTTACATGTGGTTATTTAAAAAAAAAAATGCTGAGAGTAGATTGATGGATATCAACTATTGGTTTTGTAGATAATGATAAGAATTGTGGAAAATCGGTAGATAGCTTCCTCACAAAAGAGGCAGCATGATACTGTTAGTGTTTTCTAGATATCCTCCCCCCAGTATTATAAGTAGAAACTTATGTGAGGGAAATGTGAAGTTTTATTGTTTTTAAAATTGAGAGTTTATTATTTACTGTTTTTAGTATTCTTAAATGTCTGGCTGGTCTCCAGTCTGTTACATAGAGACTGTACAGAATCTGTAAAGGTGTGTGATTAGAAGGTATGTTTTTTAATAGTGTACATTATGTTTTTGGTAAGGCGGAGTCAGCATCTGATCACATATCAGGATACTTAGTGATGGAAAAGCATTAGATTTAAGTTGCATGCGAAGAACTGGTCTGGTTAAAGAAAGTTTAAATAGCTTGAAAGCCTTTTCCTTCTTTAATGAATGATTTATGATCTCACAATTCACTTGACTTTGACCTTATGTTTAAGAACTCATTTTATTTTAAAAGACTACATGTTGCCCTCAGATACTGGCTAAAACTACCTAGGGCAGGATTCAATAGTGCTTGCAGTGCAGTGTCACCTGCATGCTGAATGTACTCATTTATAATCTAACAAAGGCTGTGCTTTGTTTCTGAGTGGTTTGTGGACCAGCTGCAGTGATTATTTAAACACTGGTCCCTGCTCACCACTCTCAGTCTGCTGAAGCAACTCTGTTTGTTTTGCTTTTTAAAAAAAGTTTCCTCAAGTGATTCATGTATCTTAAGAGTTGAAAAACACTTGCTAGTGGTTTAACTTAGAGGTTCCCACACTAGGCTACATATTATTATCACCTGGGAACTGAAAAACAAAACAAAACACTTGAAATTTAGGAAGATTCTTACTCTTTAGTCCTGAGGTGGGGACATACAAATTTTAAAGAGCACCCCACACTGGTCTAGACTATTTTAGTGATTTATATTTATAAAGAGTGAAATAGTTTAAAAAGCCACCCAGTAACTTTTGGGATTAATCTTATGAAATAAATTCTGGGAGGGGATGTGTGGGAGGGAGGGGGGTAAAAAAAAAAATCAAAATATGTTAAAAAAAATCAAAATATGAAAAAAAAAAAAGAAATAAATTCTGAACTGCTGCTTTTGATATAAAGTCAGGTTTAAAACTGAAATTGACAGCAGGCAGGAAATAAAGAACTCTGGTTAATCAGTTGAACTTTTGTGACCTGTATTAAAATAAATCATGTTTATTGAATGAGTGGAAGGGCACATATGCTTTTAGAATTGTATTATTTAACTTTGAAGCCGAGACTGGTTTGGCTCAATGGATAGAGCATTGGCTTGGGGACTGAAGGGTCCCGGGTTCGATTCTGGTCAAGGGCATGTACCTTGGTTGCAGGCATATCTCCAGTAGGGGGTGTGCAAGAGGCAGCTGATCGATGACTCTCTCATCGATGTTTCTAACTTTGTATCTCTCTCCCTCTCTGTACAAAATCAATAAAATATATTAAAAAAAAAAAAAACTTTGAAGATTTTTAAAAAGGCTATTTTTAGCCCTGGCACGTCCCATGCACAAAGAGGTTCCCATTCCTGTCAGGGCACATACCTCAGTTTTGGGCTTGGTCCACAGTAGGGAGCATGCAGGAGGCAGCTGGTCGAGGTTTCTCTCTCTCCCTGTCTCTCCCTCTCAAAAAAAAATCAATAAAAGTTTATATGTTTTTTAAAATGTCTGGTACATGGGATGGAGATGGGCTAAAAGAGTTGATGGAGGAAAAGAGGGAACATATGTAATGCTTTCAACAATAAAGATTTTTTTAAAAAAAGTAAAAAAAAAAAAAAGGCATCCTGTATAATAAAAGCATAATATGAAAATTGACTCAATGGCAGAACAATTGGTTGCTATGACATGCACTGACCACTAGGGGGCAGACGCTCAATGCAGGAACTGTCCCTGGTGGTCAGTGTGCTACCATGGGGAGTGCTGCTCTGTCAGAAGCTGGGTGCATGGCTGGAAGCGCAGTGGTGGTGGTAGGAGCCTTTCCTGCCTCCACTGCAGGCAGGCGGTAAAGAGCGAGGGGTCCTGGACGGTGAGAGGGCCAGTGAGAGGGCGCAGGTCAAGCTGAGGGACCCCCCACAGTACATGACACTCATGCATCGGGCTTCTAGTCCACTGTATTTAGGTCAATTGTAAATCACAAGCAATTCCCTTGGTAATTAAATTTAATTACATTTAATTACCTTTGTAATTAAAATTGAAAACTTTAGCTGTATTTCAGCAACACAGAAACATATCTTACTAACTAATCCTGGACAGATTATACTGAATTTTTGCACAAAATAATGAATTTGTACTTGGGTTGAAAAGTGTTGCTATTGTTGTGATACTACTTCCCATGCACTGAACTAAAATGATGGGAGTTGATTTTGTGTTTCTGTGTAGGAGGTGTCATGTAGATATGCAGATGTGGAATGTAACATGGATTGTATCCTTTGTGAGTTTTTGGGTTGATACAGTTTATAAATATGACAGTTACTCTCATGATTTGTCTGATTTTGAACTTGTAAAATGAAGACTATTTTTTACACATTTAATTTTAAAAAGGCCTCTGAAGTATCCAAAGTCATTAATAAAGCACTGTTTATTGTGTACGTAGACTGTATACTTCCCTTTCTGGACAGTATTTCAGCTATTCCTCTCCTTTGCTTTCTTCTCCTGTCACCTTTCTCTTAATGTTCTCTGAAATCTGACACAAAATGACTAGTTCACTCATGAAGTCTTTTTCAGAAAAGTGATAGAAAGTGTTGTGAAAGATACTAGTTGAGCCAAAACCAGTTTGGCTCAGTGGATAGAGCATCGTCTGTGGACTGAAAGGTCCCAGGTTTGATTCCGATCAAGGGCATGTACCTTGGTTGCGGGGCACATCCCCATTAGGGGGTGTGCAGGAGGCAGCTGGTCGATGTTTCTCTCTCATTGATGTTTCTAGCTCTCTAGTTCTCTCGCTTCCTCTCTGTAAAAATAAGTAAATAAATAATATATTTTTAAAAAGATACTAGATGAAATAACCCAACTTTATAAAGTTTTAATTTGAGAATAAAAATAATAGCTACTACTTTTAGTAGTTTGGTAGAAAGTGCTTCATAAGGACCTATAGCCTATAAATAACAAAATTTCAACTAATAGAATATTATACACACACACACACACACACACACACACACACACACACACACACACACACAGAGTAGTGGCCCAGTGCATGAGATTCTTGCACAGGACAGGGGGTATCCCTCAACCTGGCCTGCACCCTCTCCAATCTGGGACACCTTGGGGGATGTCAGACTGCAGGATCAGGCCTAAACCAGCAAGCAGTTGGACATCCCTCTCACAATCTGGGACCGTTAGTTCCTAACTGCTCACCTGCCTGCCTGCCTGATTGCCCCCAACTCTCCCCCCACTGCTGGCCTGATTGCCCCTAGCTGCTTCTGCCTGACAGCTGATCACCCCCTAACCACTCCCATGCCGGCCTGATTGACGCCTAACTGTTCCCCTGCCTGCCCAATCACCCCCAACTGCCCTCCCCTGCCAGCCTGATCACTCCCAACTGCCCTCTCCTACCAGCCCAATCACTTCCAACTGCCCTCACCTGCTGGCCTGATTGCCCTCAACTGCCCTCCCCTGCCATGACCCACCTCTTCCTCCGGGACCCACCTTCTCCACCCAAGGTGCAGAGATACTGGGACCGGCCTACTCTGCGCTGCGCAGAGCCACGGGACCTCCAGGCCTCACTGCATGCAGTGGCCACCAGGCCCCACCTCCACTGTGCATGTGGCCTCTTGTGGCGGCCATATGGTGATAACATTGCGTGTGAGGGCCACCTAGGCTTTTATTACTATAGACTTCAAGCCCAGTGCATGGGTGGAGTCCAGCCTGCCCAGCCCCAATCAGGGCATATTTGGGACAGGCCTGTCAGGAAGAGGAGATGGCGGGAGGTTGGCTGGCCAGCCCGCACCATCAGGTCAGGCTGGGATAGCTGGGGGTAGGGTCCATGGGTGGTTGGCTGGTGGGCCATGAGTGATTGGGATGGAGGGCCAATTGGGAGTGGGTCCAGCCGTGTGGGGGGCCGATTGGGGCGCAGCTGGCCAGGGGGTGGGGCCATGGACTGATTGGGGTGGTGGGAGCTGATCTGGGATGGAGCGGGCTGTGGAGAGGGGCTGTGGATGATGGGCTAGCCAATCCTCCCCCCCCCCCAATGTGTGTGGGGGCAATTAGGGGCCAGCGGCCTGGGGGAGGAACCATGGGTGGTTGGTCGGCCAGCCCTGACCCTGATCAGAGTGGGGGGAATTGATCAGGGGTGGAGCTGGCTGGGGGAGGGGCTGTGGGCTGATTAG